TCCGATCCACTAGTCTCACAATATAAATAATTTTTAGGCTTTGAAGTCCAATTCACATACAACGATGGAAGAGCCTGTACGCACAAATAGAAGAGGACGGCTTCAATCATAGAGACAGGATAGACAGTCGTAATACTCTCTGAAAGGCAGGTACAGATGCCTCTCAAGGTTTTTCTCATTTCTCATTAGTTAGAACCAACCTGACAGAGGTTAGAATTACAGAAGTCTTAATGGTCATCTGGATTCCAACTTGCTTGTGAAATGAAACCACACAATTCGACTTGTATATTTGTTTGAAAATTAGTTTATTTTTATTTTGAAAAAGAAAAAAGTGGTTTTTAGTTTTGTAAAGCTCTTACATAACCATTATAAATACTTTTAGTCATGGATAACAGTACAAAGAAGGAACTTCCTTGTCATCAATTAATTTGAAATCTTATAAAAAAGAATCATGCTAAGATAATCTTTCCACAAAAGATGTTATTTTGACCTGATTTTAACAGAAAGGGGAAAGTATAGTGGCCGTTTTTCTTATTTACAGAAAATATCCCTCTTAGGCTGATGAAAGACTTTAGCGATCAAGTCATTATGTTTTCAATTTTTTTTAATAAATTCAATTTCAATCCTACTAATTGACTGTACCAAAGAACAATCTAATATCTCCTCCCATCTCCTCTAACTTCATTTAAAAGTATTATCTATCATTTTCTTTATTATAATGTGTCACATGAATAATTTGTTCTATAAATAATATTTACATAATTAGTTCATATTAGGTTTAGATTTATAAGGATTCATATATTCTTATTAGGTTTATAAGTATTAGTATATACCATAATACTTAGTTACTGAGGCTTCTTCAGTTTTTATTTAAATTTTTTGCTTCATGCTTTTTATTAGTCCAATTTGTCATCAAATATAAGCATGTCTGTGATAAGAAAGGCTTTTGGGTTCTGAAAGGTTTCATGTTTCAGTATATTTAATCATTGTTTTATATTTGAAATACATCTCAGCTCTATTCATTATTCTTGGTCACACTTTCAAAACTTTATAGAAGACTTTTGTAATTGAATGCTTCCATGGGAAAGAGACAGGTCAATGTAATTTCTCCTTCTTGGCTCCTTTAAGCATCTGAGTTTGTGACACCTGACTCTAATCCAATTCCTTTATCTCTCTTTTTCAATTTTTTTGAGAGATTTTTGCTGTGGGGCACGTGTTCTTGTTGGAGAGACAAAAAGAGAGAGAGTGACAGAAAATAAGAAATCACCCCTAGAGTGGATAGCCAAGCCACAATCCCTTCTCCTATATTCTCCTCTCAGGATTTTGGGCATGCACACACACGCATCTGGTGTGAGTTGTAAGCCTGAGTTTCAAGTTGCCGGGGCTGGTACTGGAATTGCTGTCAACCATGTGAGAGTCCAGCACTTTAACCATTACATCATCCACTGACCCCTCCAATTCCTTCCTTGTACAAAATAAAATTGAACCTAAATAATTTTAAGTACAGATTTTTTTATCAATGGTATGTTAAAAATACTTAATCTTTGCCAATCAGGAAAATAAAGGTCTTCTGGTCATTCACACATAGATCATAATA